ATTTTAAATTGTCAAAAACATTAAATTTAAATTTGAGGTCACCATATTTTGCCTTACTTTCTGAATTGGAGCAATGAAGAGATGAGGAGAAACTCATCCACTACTATTCTTAATGGGGCAGACTGGAAAAAGTTATATCTGTGTTGTAATTAGAGCCATTCAAAACTGTTATTCTGTTATTTGCAACCGTTTGGAATGAAAATAAAATTTTCTCGCACGCTGAGAACGACATGATATTATCATAATGATTTTCGATTTCTATTTTCCGTTATGTTTAGGGACTAAATTCTCCTTGCTTGAAAGCAGAGTTTTTGGCTCCTTAGAAATTTTCTCATGGAAGTTATGTATTGACGTTAATGTGGCGTTTACAAACAGCCAACCTGAATAACCTCCCCTCTCTCTTTTCCATCATCAGGTCAAATGGTGTCTCCTTTTTCATTGGGGCCTACCTTTTTCAATCGGAAAGAAGACTGAGGCATGATTCACTTCACTAGATGAGGTACTCAAGAACACAACTTGTGTCACATTGGTGGCCGAAAATGAAAGATAATGTATTATAAAATAGATTTAATAGAAAAATAGCTATCAATACCACTGATGTAGCACATATTGGAGTCTCCAGTCAGGTGACTACCCCAAGACCACAATGACTTCCCCTGCAATAGATTTGTCCTTCAGCCAAGTATAATAACACAAAGTTTGGTTGAGTTTTTCTCTTTCAACTGCGAAATCCGGAAAAAGAAATTTGTCCCTTGAATGATGAGGTCCTCTTGTCCCCATTGGCGCGATGTTTACTCTATCCAATCACTTATCAAGACTATCATGTCTCCACATGGGATATGTAAGGCCTTCAGGCCATCTCTCAATGAGGTTCTCCAGGCCTCCTTTTGTCTACCAGTTCAATATTTCTTCTACATATTCTTCTCTTATTTGATCTGTCTTAACTATCCCTAATATCTTGCATAGAAAGCATTGTTAAGAAAACATGACTTCTCTATGACTTTCTCTATATCCCTTTACTTCTCCCAGACATATAAGACCGATGATGTGACAACTAAGGAATAAAGCAGAATTTTGAATTTTGGCTGATTGCTTTTGATGGCCAAACTATGTTCATCCTTTATAAAGCGGAAGCCGCTTGCCCAAGGTCTGAGTTGACTACAACTTCAACATCAGCATCATATGTCATATCTCTCCCTCATACGTAAACCCGTTTTCCTTCAAGATCAGCGGAAGAGGAACCACACCAATACTCAATTCCTCCTTCCTCGCACGGCCAACATTGGTGCCACTAGTTTCGAGGCTGTATGTCATATCTTAAAGGGTCTTTCAATTTCCTATTAGAGGATAAACATCAGATCTGTCTATATAATTTGGATTCCTTCTCTTGCCGAGTTTTAGCTTGTAATATCTTGTTCATGACAGAACTTACGGCCACAAGGAGCCTGTAACGAGAAAAGAAACAATCTTTTCACAATTTTAAATTGCTGATGACACCTGCGATACAGTGCAGTTCTAAAGATGTAAAAGTACTTGTTGGTACTCCGTACTGCTTGGTGACTGTTTAGGGAAACTATGAGGGACTTTCCTGAAGTCTCTGAGGTGAGTGTCTCAGGGCCTCTGATGGTCAGGAAACCGTTTAACTATCCTCCGTGGTGTGAGGATTTGTTCTGTACATGACCTCCTGTTGTTAACTCCACCTTCATCTTCTCTAAGCAGACTGACTACACGAGTTTTCAGTTCATTCAGAGGAGCTATACTTGATACTAGGGATTGAAAGCATTGTTATTCTTCTCCAGTTTCCACGCCAATTATTCTTCCTTTTATCTCAACTTGATGACGGCGAAGCACTAATCATCAGGAACTTTCTCGTCGACCCAGATGTTTTCGAGGAATCTTTTAAGTTCCTGAAGAACAACATTCTTGCTGTTATTTTCAGCACTTTTATTACCTTCCCTATTAATCTTCTCTCCTGCTGTGAACTTGAAGAAAATGTTGAAGGCTGGTTGTTTAGGTATTTCACTGGCATTTTTTCCGGTGAAATTTTGCCTGCTCTTCTAATTGGACAATCTTTTCCTTATCCTAACCTTCCCCCTTTCTTAATGGCCTAGTCCTGTTGTATGCACTTTTCATCCAGTTCCGACTGTATATCAACGGATTATCTACCTCCTGATATCTTCCAATTTTGAGGTCTCTTCTTTCGATAATCAGTCTCCAGCTGTCGTCTGATATCCACTGACCTCTTTGTGTTCCCTCTTGCAAACTAGTGCTGTTTCCGCAAAATTCCTGAGTGCCATTTTGGAATACCATTTTGGAGCGTTCTGGCTCAACTTGTTGGACAGCTCGAGATGAAAAAGTCCATGGTACGTCTGAACCTTTCAATTTGTCCTTGGAAAGCGGTCATACTAATTTGGTGTCGCTCCTCCGTTTTTCCTTAATCCTGATTGCGGGGAATTAACGGTCAGGTGATACAGCTGCACTTTTTAGAACTTTGATTTGCTGAAATCAAGACTACCATCTCTTGCGTATGCAAGTTGAGTCTTTTTCACCCTAAACGTTTCAACCGTTTCACAAAATGTCACTCTTTGTTTTTCCTTGGTGACTTTCGCCTTTTCTTGAATTACCGGTCAGGTGATACGGCTGAGGTCCCTTAACTGCTGGTAAAAATCGTCTTCCTCTTCCGCATTGGTTATGCGACTTGGTACACAAGATTGGGTCACAATTTATTTTGGTTTTTGTACACTGGAATCTTGCAGTTATGATACGATTGTTGGCTGGTGGCCAGTTGATAAGTGTTTGTGCAGTCACTCTATTTAACAAATGGCTGCTAGGTCAAGAGTAAACTGCGGTGACTCTATCACTGTATCAATTTTATCTTTTTCAGTTCATCTCCATTTATTGAAGCTTAGCGTATCAAAGTGATATGCGTACATCTCATTTATGATTTGGGAGCTCACTTTCCGCACTTGGACAATGTGCTCATTTTGTTGGGGCCAATTTTGTTACTTCCTTGATTGAGTGTGTTTAAGGTATGACTTTCTGCTGGATTTCATTATCTACTATCATTGATGCATCATGCAGTGTCCTTCACTTCACGTTAGGTCCATAGTCTTGTGCGATTGTTGCTTGTAACAATATTGCTTTCTAGGGTCAAATGTTCTTTTCTCAATTGAGTTTAAAATCAGAACTCAGTGGTATAGTGACTTGAATGGAGGCTTTCAATGATATAAATATAGCGAACCCTTCCGTTAAATTTATCGAGCATATTTCTTTTACCTTAAATGTATTTATGATCTTTTTGTTTTGTGAGTCGGAACTCTTTTTTGTATTTTACTCTAAAATCATGACTAGCACACGGCCGAATATTCCCCTTTGAATGTACCTAATTGTGAACGTAATTTGAGTTAGAAGAACAGGGCAAAGAAGACCTACAATTTAGATAAATTAAAGTAATTGTTATTGTTAATCATACCAAGAAACATTTGATAGTGAACAAGGTTCTGCACAAATTAAGTTTAAGTCATGTGGCTGCATAGTATAGTATAGTATATTTGTTAAGTAGTGTATTATTATGTATTTGAAATTTTAGCCGCATCTAAATCTCAGGCTAGTCTCCTAATTGTGGTTTAAGTGAATAATCATACTTTTTTAAATCTGGCACTCACCTTCTTGGTTTAAATGTAGAACATCTGTGGGAATAGATTGAAATGTTTCCATTTATACAGTGCAAAAACCTTCGAGTACATTTTAATGATTTCCACTTGTAATGACAGCAGTCTTAATAACTATCTTAAGTAAGAAGTAAAATCCATTGATAGGAGTCAGAGTGTATATAATGTTTCCTTTATAGTTAGATGTGATTATCAATTAATGAAATGTTTCATTTGCATAGTGTAAAACAGTTAAATACATTTTCATGATTTTGTAAATAACCTGTGCTGACAATGGTCTTCATATTTATCTCAAGTAAGAGTTTAAGTCAGTCGGTATGACACTGTATATACAATGTTTCCCTTATAATAAGATTATGATTATTGACTAAAATTTAGTCTTGTTTAATATCATTTTTGGCTGGAATCATATCAGACTCAATTGGTGTTCCAGCCTGAATACGACTATATCTCTAGGCCTTCCTGACAGAATGTACAGCTAGGGGAGTTAGTTGAATCACAGTGGTAAAGTTTTTCGTTTGTATAGACAATGTAATTAAAAAATTTGCATATAATTTCCCTAGTCTTAGAATCTAGCGTTGCATAGGATGGGAGATCGTAAAATTTGTCCCATTAAAAATTGCGTCTGGGTATTTATTGGCTAGTTTACTTTTTGCAGTCCGTGGAGTTTTATTCTCTCCCAAAGAAACATCATACTAAAAGTGAATGATTTAAATTACATTTAACGTCAAAACGCTTAATTTTTAGAGGAAAAACACCTCAGCTATAACACAGACCTTACGTTCGAAGGGTAATTCGTTGTTTTCCAAAATTACTGTAATAAAAAAGGTAAGCATATAAATTTTTTTCCTTGTTGAAAATACTCTTGCTTTCAAGATGAACCCATGTTATTTTGTCTCTTACTTTTTTGAAACCAGAGTGTTTGGGATTCTCTTGAGCGGCTCACGAAAATGTTATAATAAATATTTTGTGACTTGTGGTTGGAACTGGGCGTCAGCCTGCAGAAAAGAGCCCTTACCGGCGGTGGGCTCCACGCGTGAAAAAAACGAAGCAAATTGAACTCGTTAGATAACTTAGTGCCGTGATTGTGCAGTCAACATATTTGCAAAAAGTTGAGAGAGAAAACTGCAAGGATGATGGGCACTGGTGACTAGGATAGCTGCAGAGATTTCTTCCCAGACTCTCTCGGTTCATTGGTAGCTTGACCCTGTTCTCTTGCCTTTCTACTCGTTCTCCGTCATACGTGGCTTACACTCGTCAATTTTTCAATTTTAACAAGTATTATCGATCACGATTGAGTCTGCGTACATCCGGTGTCGATCACGAACTCCATGTTTCTGGACTTCTACAGTTCAATGGACTGGGATGAAATTAACAAACAACTATAACGCCACCTGGATTCTTCATAGTAAGTTATAACATCAGCATTTAAAGAAAGCGTAGTTTAGTATGTAAAAGGAGCAAGTTTTGCGTCGGAAAGATCCGCTCTCGACAAATTTGACAAGATTATCAGCTATAGGTTGATGAAAGTAGTTAAATCATTGTGATGGACTACAAAAAAATAACGATTACCATTTTCAAGCAAAGGGAAAATTATCTTGCAGTTCATATTTTTCGGGAAACGACTGAACTGATGAACTCGCTGTTAATTTACCTTGCGGTGCCAGAATTTTAACAGATCACAAGCAGACATTATACTGGAAATAAATGTAATGCAATGAGTCTTAAATATAGCAATACGGGACGGCTTCCTAAAATATTCGGACGTTTTATTATTGTTATCAATTCCTGTAACCCAGATTTTTTTAATTTTGTTTTTTTTATTCATGAGGCATTATTCCAAGCAACCGCGAGCTTTCAGGGAGGAATTAAGAATGATATTTCACGGTTATACTCGCAGCATACATTTTGTTTGTAAAGCATAGAAAATTCTTTTTGCATGGCTCATTCCTTTTTCGCAGTTTTGATACTACGTTTAGGAAAATTGTCAAGATTTCGTGCCCCTAAGAAATTGAAAGATGAGTTTTTATTTAGCTACTATGAAGGTTTCTTGTACCAGACCGGTTTCTATGGAGACATTAAAGGGCAAATACTCTTAATAAAACAAAATGCGAAATTACGATAAATTTAGGGCCTTTTCCTGTAAGAGTAGGTTCTCTCGATTTGCTTTGTTTCCAGCGTCAACATATCTTTTAAATGAGCCATTATAAAATGTGATCATTTCATGTAATTAAGATGATAATTCAGAGCAATGACCCATTCTTATCCGAAACAGTATGTCCTACGTGAAAAGCTAGGGCAATTGATGGTGTATTCTAATCGTGAGGGTAACGCTAATCCTGAGCACGAATAACGTTTCGACTACCTTAGGGAAAGCCGTCATCAAAGTCGCGTGAAGAGGCTGAGTTTTATAATTTCGGTATATGTAAACTAGATTGTACGTTTTGTGGCGGCGGGATTGGCTGTAAATCCAAATTCGGTGGTTACTGGTCAGTTTTGTTTCGTTGGTGATGATAGGTCAATCTTTTTCGGGTCGCTTGTTGAGTGAATGTGGTAAATATGCCGTTTTTGAGATAGTTACTGACATCTGTTGACGGGAGTCTGTTCGAAGTACGTGAACCAGCCCTCCAGAGTTAATAACCCCAACTATGATTCAACTTTCCTTCAGCAATCCCAATCGATAACCCTTCGATAATCTTCCTCGCACTTGGTTTATCCCCTTTTTATGAAGTAGCCGGCCTAATTTCGTATCATCATTTGTTAATCTGTCAATGAAGTTTGCATTATTTAAATAGAATTCCTCATTTCCTGATTACGTTTTAGTGATGAGATGCTTAGCTGGGCGCCTCTTCCGTTTACGCCTTGTCATCGTTTTTCTCTTTGTTGCTGCCTTGGCAATTCTTCGCATTATGTGGAAGCTACCCTATTATGACATATCCCATTTGAACGACTTCAGAACTTTTCGTCATCAGTGGTGTAGAATGCATGAATGGCGTGTAGACTGGGAAGGAATGGTCAAACCGTGTGAGAACCGAGTTGCCTGGACCCGAAGAGAAATAAACTCAGAGTTGAGGAGTGATGCGTGGAGAAGTTTTATTACAAAATGGGAGATACTTCCTGCAGGTGAAAGAAAGAACACAAAGCCTAAAAGTGGTCCAGTTTGTAAACATAGAATGTTACCCTATGATCAGATATCTTGTATTGCTTGTAAGATTCTGGCGAAAGTTGTTGATTACCATTAAACATAATGAAAATCAGTAATCAACTGAAAAGGACTGCAGAACTTGATAACAAATTTAAAATAAAAAAAAAGTGTATTTCCGCTAAATAACGATCTCATCCCCTAAAGTTTAAAAGCTAGCTTGAGGCGAAAATGTTCTCAATAATCACTTCGCTCTCCTGATTTTTTAAAAGGTCAATTCAGTCGTTTTTTTATTCAATCCGTGACGAAAAATGGCCACATAAAAAGCTTTGGGGGTGATGCATGGCGAGTATACATCAAACAAGGCCCGGCATCAATTGCGCCGCAAGTCTGGGACCTCGACAACGGCATGTACGAGGTGGTGTTCTTAGCAATGGAACCTGGCAACTACTCCGCCCAGATAACGCTGGATTTCACTTTATGTGATGGTTTGCGGGATCCACCGGTGGATTGGTTTATTATAGGTAAGTAATTTATGAAGATCCATCTTTACCGGGAGATTTTTTTTTTGCATTCCAACCCAAATGCCAGGGAGTTGATTTGAGCTTTATTCAAGATGGACAACGCACTCTGTAAGATAGACCTCGCATGGACGGAAATCTTTCTATCATGATCTCGCTGCTTCTTACTCAAACGTTGCGAGGCCGCTAGTATATTTTGTAATGCGACGCCAAAAAAGAGCGAGATAAGAGATTACGAGTAGAATTTTCGTTTGCACCAAATTAAACGAGTGAATAGCGGGATTCGCGACTCAATAAACAATAAATTAATTGATTAATTAATTGATTCTGACAGAATCGACTGATTCCTTTTATAAAAATTTTTTGGACAACAAATGGCGAGCTGTTCTAATATTGTCTAATAATACATGTAGCCGTAGGCACATTGACGCCTCCAGCCGCCCCGATTCGCAAAAAAGGCTGGGCCGTCGACCAAATATAAAGTAACTGAATGGTATTGAATCTTTCTTCATGTATCAGGAACGGTTCAAGGAAAGTATCAACCAGATGGTGTCTTGGGATTCATTGGCGATGACTACATCCTACAGCCTCTAAGTGGACAAAAAACATTCAGTTTTTTTGTTCCGTGGAGTGGCGCTCTCACCCCTGATGCTTTTGTCACACCATCCTGCATTGTTGGTTTAGAAACAGAGGGTATGTTTGACTAGATTGGGATTGAGTATTTTTGCTTTGTACGTTGAATATAGAGATCATGTTTTTATTTATTTATAGTGTACTTACAAATCTCAGTAAATACTAGCATAAGTTAAAGAGACAACCTAACATGATGGAGTTAACTTGCAAAACTACTTAAATCTTATCTTAATCAAATCAAATCAAATCTACTTAAATGGGAAACAATGTGAAAATATAGACTAATTAAAAATTTTTAGAAATGTCAGACTTTTCCTAACATTTTTACTTTGACAATCTCCCCAGACTCTTCAAAAAATTTGGCTAAAAGTTGTGGGATTAAGTGTAACTTTGTGCAGAATGGATTCGGTAGATGGGTTAACAGAGAGTGGTTGCCGTACGTAACAGGTTTGTTTTCCTACAAAATTTATCTTCCTTGACACATGAAAAGGGAGTGCGTTAAAGTAGATCCTGTAACAAATCGTCATTCTCTCTTTTTTTTTTTTCATTTTTTTGCTTTTTAGCTGGTTCTATCGAAATAAGTAATCAATTTATAAATTTTCACTACAGACCTTCCTTTATCTCATTTATTATTTTTTCATTACCAGATATCGAAACCGCAACAGGAAAAGGAAACTCAGTAACACAGGCCGATACTTTGTGGATATATGGTGATTCTGTCAGTCAAAGATTTTTAAATTCCCTTAAATCGAGAGGAATTTGTCAAGAAAATTTCAAAAAGTGCATCAGTTCCTACATGTGGATATATGAGGTAGGGATTGAAGTCTATGTGAGGCCAAGAAAATTTGATATTGACGCTGATTGGAAACAATAATTAAATTATCAATTTTATTTTTTGTTCAGTGTTTCAGTTCTTTAACCTCTATAGTCGTTGGAGATATAGCAGGCTCAGTGGTGCATAGGTTTTAAATTATCATTAGCTATTTGTCGGGTTTTTTTTTTATAAATGGACTCTTTAAAAAAGTCAAGAAAATGGCTGACTTTGCATCAACAACACCGAGGTTGTTGATTGGGATTTTTGAATGATCAGCTCTTTTTTATGAAATTTTCAGCTGACAAGTGAAAAAGAAGCAAAGACAAAGTTCGAGCCGAATGACTTTGACGAGACAATTATCCTGCAACATATGAGTGAGATTCTCAACTCTTCAGACTTAAAGACACAAGACAGTGTGTTTCTCTTCAATCTTGGTGTTCATTACTCCGTATCACTTAACTTCACAACTTACAGACGCCTTATAGACAATGTAGTGAAACTTGTAAAGAAGAAGTTAGATAACACAATGGAAAACATGCCCATCCTAATTTGGAAGACGACCACCTCTATAGAAAAGGAAATGGTTCACAAAATGTATGCAGAGCTGCCTAGGAACAAAACCCATTGGAGATTTCATACGCATCAGGTGTGATATTCGATCGCGATAGTTTATTAAAAACGGGAATTGCTAAATATACTTCTGATTTTTCTAGGTCTTCTTCTTTTTTTCTAAAGAGAGATTGAAAAATTTATCTTTTACAGGAAAAAGGATATCCGATTCTTATGTTGTACAAATCGTTTATTTGAAAACGGCAAAACTTCATTACTTAACTCTTTTCCTGCAGCCAGGAGAGGCTTTTAAATTGTGAAATCTTTTGCGAAACACTTTCCATCAAAATCCGTTAAGTAGCGAAGTTATCCCTTATGTATCTTTCAGAGACTTGAGTTGTTCCACAAGTATGCAGTTAGTCGCATGTGCAAGGCTGGTATCCCTGTGTTAGATGTGTATTCCATGACCGCCTCATACCCTAATGGTACGTTAGATCATGTGCACTACAACGAAGAAGCGCAGAGAGCAGCGGAGGACCAGTTGATAGCATTTGTTAGCCAGGAAATAAAAAAAAAAAAGACGGAGGAATCCCGAAGGACTTGGCCTTAAAATTTAAAAAGTTAAGTTTCCTTGTTCCAGAACGACACATCAAGTACAACTTTGATACTTTGTTCGAAATCATATTTTTTTTAATTTGCTGAATATTTATCATTTTAATTCTAGACTTGACAACATGAAAAAAAATAAGAAAAGACAATAATTGCTTTTGACAAATTCTCGAAATAAAATATTAATTTTTAGTTCCTTTCTTGATTCGTGACTTTATTTACTCCGCGCGCAATGAGTTACTGTAACCTCACACCCTCACCCCCCAGGAGAGTTCAATCATTCTTCTGTCTTGTCTGCACAATAGACATAAAACGTGTCTGCTGACAACAATAGAACAGAGACGCCTCGATCAACCAAATCAGAGGATAATCTATGGGAACCGATTTCTTAACTTCATTATCCGATCGGGCTGAACTGTTTCCAAGTAAGTTACATCTCTGCTCCAAGAATACAAATTCCACTTATAGCACTTCTAACTTTGGTTCGTGTAGAAAAATTTGTGATATTTTCCGAATGTTAAATAAAGTTTTTGTAACTTTAACGTTGCCGTTTGTTCTCATTCCCCTGGAGTTAGACGGCGCTTTTGTGCAACGATTAAATCACACCTCAACGTATGTTTTCATGCCAAACATCATGTTCTCCGTTTCTGTCAACCGTTTGAATTGACCAAATATGGAAGTAATACCTAATAGAGTACCCTTAAAGCCCCTTAACGAGTTAAACTTCGTTATCTGTTTTAAAAATGTCCATCGTTCGAAATATTTTCCGACTGCAATAATGATATAAAGAAAACTATTTTAGGAGCACTGATGCCTCAGTTTTACCAAGTACAAAGCAAGGTGCCTACTCTTCATATTTAATTTTTCAACTACCATGAAATAATTTCCTAATGAACAGATTTTACAAATTCGGAGTTAACGATTCCGCACTTATTACTGTTTGTAACAGTAACTAAAACTCCTGCCAGCTTAAGGCATAAATCATAAAGCATCAGTCTCCTCTGGACTTTAAGTCGTCTCATGTATTTCACTAGGTTCCGGTTCACAGACATATCACTGAACTCAATAGTTTGGAACATTTATCACCCGTTTCACCAGTCAACTAGCGCTATTCTTATCTTATGGGGTGTTTTGTGGATATCGGAAATGTTAATATTCAAAATAGTTTGTTTTGTAGAAAAGAGGAAGGATTTATGTGTAAAATCCATGACGTTTCTTTTAACTGAAATTCAAAATGTAGTTGCGGTTTACCTTACATTTTGATGTAAAGGTTTGATATTCTTGTTACAAGTCTTCTTTTCAAAGTATTAGATCGTATGAGAGAAGTTGTATTTTGATCTCCTCTAAGATATCGGGCATAACTTTAGCATACCTCTTGTAATTATCTGGGGAATTCATTCCACTTTCGACGAAAACAAACCTTACTTATCGGTGAGGGGTGGGTTTCCTTCGTTCCAGTTTCCATCGCAATTTTTGTTGAATATTCGTCGTAAGTTGTCGATCTCTATCGATTTTTCGCATACCTGATTAAGTTACCCAAGTCAAAGCGAAAATGTTATGGTTTCCTTTACGGTTGTTAGGTTATTAGCCATAAATATTTCAGAACTTCCTCATGAAAAATTCACCAAAAGTTTAGTTTTAACCTATTTCTCGCTAACGAGGCAAAGACGGTCTGTGTCGTGGAAAGGGAAATTTACTTCTTAGAATTAGCACAATGTTGGAATTCACAACTTAACGAAATTGCCACAAAATTCTCAAAGTCAAAGTCATAAGTGCCTTATTCCTTTGATTGGAGGGAAAAAACAGCTAGATTTGTGTTGGTCATAACTGGTGAGTAAGCCCATTTTCTTTTAATTTCCTTTTTTTTTTTTTTTTGCCAACGTTCACCGTCTTACTATTTTTCCTTAGATATGATTTTATTATTTTTCGTTAACTTGTGTAATCTATCTAGCTAGAAATATCTTTGGGTCGCTTCAAGCTCTAAGACTGAAATATTACGTCTGTTGGAGCAAAGACACTACAACATGTGGGCCATTGTTTTACTCTTGGCGAATGTGATTTGTACCAAAGTGCAGGGCAGGTACATGAACAAGCTCAATAAAGGTAAGTGATGATTTTGTGTCGAAGTTTCCGGTCAAATGAAAAAATGTTATAAAATGTATCTTTGAGCTATGATACGTATTTTCACATGTGTTTTAGAGCAATTCACTTTCAGGGCTGTCAGGACAAAGGAAGCGAGAAGACTTTTACTACCTTCGATAGACCTATTAGTTTCCAGATGCTTAATCAAATCCTAATTTTTAAAATGAACACGCCCACTGTCATAACTGTGGCTCTTAAATAGTCCTGTAGTATTTTCATTTTTAAGTCTCCTACATTTACTCGCTTTGTAGAAAGTTGGACATATCAAGGAGACGGGACCTATTAGCTGACATTCATTATGAGACACTGTGAAGAGTTTGTGAAAGCTGTAGTTTCATCCATTAAAATACACCATAGCCTTTACCTTGCTTTGTAACAATAAATGACCCTTTGGGTTCGTCTGACATAATATCTTCCAAATCTGAGTGCTTCACGTCCGAGCGTTCCAAAGGAATGTTTTCAAGACCTTTAAGGGATTGAAAATGAACTACCAGAGGAACCAAAGCAACAAGGGAATTATCCTGTATTCGTTTACGCAGTTAAATAGAACCGTTTTTGGAGGGATTATACTTTATTAGTCTAGTCTTAAGAGGTAATATTGATTTGCCAAAACGTAAATAATCGCTGAGCTTAATCAAAACTTGATTTATTTACTTTACAAAGAGAAAAACACATCTGGCGAAGACAAAGTGTTTGAAAAATTGGAGAAAAGGCAACAAATTACCGGGGAACTGGAAATTGATGGCCAACGTAAGTAATCTATCGTCGATACAGAGGTTATGTGGCTCACTATGCGTTTCTTACTGGGGCCCGGAACCTCTGAACCTCTAAACCTCTGAATTTTTACGCTCCTTCCGTAACTATACTTCTGTGTATGTATCTATTTTGCGGCAGCGTAGGGGTACTTATTGCGTATAATATGAGGCGAGCTGAGCTGCATCACGTTTCTATACTATGATGGCGTGCTAGTAATTCAGCAGGATTTTCGTGTCAGGTTTAATAAGACTAAAGTATGTATCTTATGCTGGGACCATGCAAAAATCTGCCAATATACTCTTAAGCTCACTTCCTCATGCTTGTACCGAAAGGACGAAGGGCAACGATCTACAATTTTAAGGACCGAAACTCGACAATGATCTGTCATTCAGTGAGATCAATGTTAGTAAATACTGTGAATTGAAACTTTGTACATTTAAAAGAAACAGGGCCTAAGTAAATTATCTCAAATTACGATATTGTAGTATCCTTTTAAGGGTATATCATTGTAGAGGGTGACATGCCATCACGAGTTGTGCTTTACTTATAGGGTTTGAAAGTTTGGGTTGCTGGCGAGATGCATGGGCGCGAGGCTTACCAACAATCGAAGGAGAACATTATCTTCTAATGGATCCTAATTATAAAGGCAGAAGGCATGCTTTGTACAAATGTGCAAAGGCGGCTCTCGATAAGGGTCGTAAGATATTCGGAATCGAGAATGGAGGCCAGTGCTTTGCGAGTTCTGTTGGGGACAATGAATATCGCAGATATGGAGCTTCTAAGGATTGTAGAGGTAACAAAGTGTGTCGAAATTTGAAAACGAATATATAAAACTTATATCCGGCAGGAGGAAAACGAGATGTATTTCTTCGATCAGAGACCGGACCCTCATTGAAAGTCGGCCTTACATAAAGGTTGGAGGCATCTGAATAAACGTTGGCTGTATGATTAAGGCCCCACATTAGGTTCAAGATTTAAGGTTCAGGGGACCTAACCCTAAAACCCTGAGTTGGTTACTGACTTTTATTTGCGTTTTTGAGCTCTAAGTAAGAAGACACTACTCTCTATTGAATCGCTCTGCTGCAACATATAGATTTTTTTTAATCTTTTGGATTGATCCGTCAAAATTCTCAGAATAGAGGAAAGGAGTGAGGGAGAAATAGCGCCGTCTCAGGCGATTAGTCCTTGGTCTCAGAGGATGGGTTGCAACAAAATAAGCTTTAAAATGACAGAATAACAAAGTCTGTTTATAAACGTTGACCCCCAGAAAAAGCCGGCCTTGCTTAAATACTAGATTTACCAGAACAAATAAGAAAAAGAAGGCCAGATTGGAGTTAATCGAGAAAGTTAGATTCTAAATCAGACTATCCGATCACATAAACAAGGCGTCGATGCTTGTTTTAGTAGCGAATTTTATGGCATTTTAACAAGACAAATGGATAACGGCATCATGCCTAAAATGAACACACTGTGCACAGAGAAGGGCAGTGGTATAATGGCAAAGTTAGCGTGTGAGAAGGTACCTTTGGCTAATATTGTCACCAGGTGATTCTTATTCGTTCTCACCGACAACGACACTCTCAAAACTAATTCACCACTGAGACAGATCTCTTCGCCAAAATTGATACTTTTGTTTTTAGGTTTTTTGGATCGTTCAGATACATAGTTGATTGGGTCAATCACGAATAAGTATTCTGTAGCTCATCATAGATAAGAATGGTTAAATAGCCTTACCACATGGTTAGCCCAGTACTGTAATGCAGGATTATCCGTTAATGAGCCTAATCTTTACAGAGACGAAATAGCAGGCCTTCGTAGTAACCTAGAGAACTCATTCCGTAGTGCAGGTGGACATGCTTTGAATAGATTTCTTTGTTTGCAGGTGATGGTAAAGGAGGGCCTTGGAGTATACAAGTATATCGGTAAGACTTCACTCTCATGTGAGAATTTGACTTTAGTTAGTGAACTGTATCTGTATCGAGAAAAGTGAATTACTATGCTTTGAGCAGATACTTAGAACTCTGATGAATTTGTCAGGAACCTCTGTCTTTGAAATTTATTGCTTAAACCATTTAGGTACTGGGAACTGACATAATTATGGAA